CTACAGGAGCTGAGACTAGGAAAAAATATTCAGGGTGATATAATAGATGAAACTATATAGATAACACTATTTCACTAGCGCATCTTTTCTTGTTATCGAAAATGGAAAGTAATTATGAAGAATTAATTTGAACACCGGCTTTTATTTTAATCAAAACAGTATCCTTGACTCCTATGATTCACACAGACCTTTCACAAGATCAAAATTGCTGAAAGGTTCACAAAGTGATGAAAAATGCTTTAATAGAAGGAAATCTAGCCCAAAAAAAACCAGATATTGCTGTTTTTGAATGCTTTACAAGCTAACTAATGGAAGCATATGTTTGCTGCTCCTGTCAAGGTCAAAATAGGGCATAAACTTAAGATATATTAATCCTTGCTAGCGTCCCATGTAATGAACTTGAATTCTGATTAATATCACATAAAAATCAACTGAACCAAACCGTTATTAGTTGTAAGAAGGTCAAGCTCAAATTTTGTCAAAAGTATATGTTTTATTTTAAATTGTATACTAGTTACCATTACTTCTGTAATAAATCTTAACGATTTAGGATGTACGTGTTGGTGCAATTTTGTAAGTACTGTAATCCAAATCCGCACATAGAGATGTTCATCACATGGTTAGGATACAGCAACTCCGCAATGAATCCTATTATATATACGGTATGCTCTTTTGCTTTATATCCTAAAAATGTTGTACAATTCCTACAATTTTAGGTGTTCAACAGAGACTACCAGGTTGCTTTGAAAATGCTGTTTGCAACAGATAGAAAACTTTCGTCGCTCAGGGCACGCTGATGCTTTAATAACAACTCTTTCATTTGCTGTACAATTTGTTAACAATGCTGATGAACCACGGTTTTAGCTTTCCGAACAGGATAAGCACTTATTTTATACATCGTTTGCTCTTTCTGATAACCTAAACTTTGACCTCGTTGGCGTACGTTTGCAGCCTTACATAAGAATGAATGTCAATAATTATTGTAAAGTTGATGACGAAAGTAAATATTTGTCATTGTCATAACTTACACTGCACTTGAGATACACAGACTCCATAAAAGCATGTAACAATAGTCCTTCTACGAACGCCAAGTCGGAACAAAGATCTTTGAAAGAGTTGGGACCTTTAATTGAATTGCAAACAATAGCAACAACATGTGTATGAAACCAATTAGTTGTTTATTATCTCTTAAACTCCTAAACGGCCTCGCTTGAAAAAGAAAATAATTTAGCTGCCCACTAATTTTTTGCGAAATTTTATCCTAATTTTTTAAAACAGCCCCTGAGGGGTATGAGAATTACTAACTCTAAACCTTATGAGCACAGGACGACTGAGCACA